ACACTCAATGACACAGTATACTGAAAGGCAAAAAATTGTTTGCAATACACTCAATGACACAGTATACTGAAAGGCAAAAAATTGTTCTGAAGCTGTTTGCATTCTTATTAGTTGGGCTTTAATCTAGAAAATGTGATCATCTCCATGCCAAAAATTCTGCCACGTGTAATCACAGGACATTCTCCCTGTCTAATTTGTAATGAAAAGTGAAATCCAGCTCATTTTAGGACCGTTTACATGTTTGTTTGTATTGGGGACAATCTTGTCCTTTATTGATGATCCATGCTTAGTTGGATGATCCAGCATTATGTGTGCATTTCTTGTCTGTGCACCCATGCTATGGATCTCTCTGCTTCCAGAACAATGCTTCCAAACTTCTCCTGGCCATCATGGAGAGTCGACATGACAGTGAGAACGCAGAGAGAATCCTATATAATATGAGGCCCAAGGAGCTGGTGAGTTCAGCAGCGATATCTCCATCCCTGATTCTTCTTAGCTAGAGAAATGGATCCCAGAGTTCAAGATCTGCAGGACCCCTTATGTTCAGGCATCTCCACAGACTAAACAAAACATTCCTGATTTCATAACTTAAGGCCTTTAACTGTGTCAGGCTGTGTTTTAAATGTTTATAAATGTGACATTCCGGGTCGCTTTGAAGTGCATTTCATGGAGCCGGGCCAGTGGGGATTGAAAAGTGTAGAGTAGGGTCCGTAAATAGTTTTGCTAAGTAATCGGTTGACTTCAGTGCAAGGCCACATTTAAGACGCCTGCTTTAGCTTGGTGACAGCAGGGACAATTTGCCCAATTTGCAGGTAGAAGTAATCAAGAAGGCCTACATGCAGGGTGAGGTGGAGTTTGAGGCTCCTGATAATGAGGAAAATGCTGATGACCACGCTGCTTCTCCTCGGAATGTCGGACACAACATATACATCCTCGCCCATCAGGTATGTTGTTAACCGCTTAGAACTCAGCTCAGGCCTCTAGCCCATCCAATAAGCAGGAATATTCTATTTAGAATAGTTACTGAACATACTGTTCTGGTGCTATTTAATGGCATTTAACAGGAGTAGTGCTCCTTTTTACTGCTTTCTGTTGTTCAAAGCATAGATTCTGGAAAATGCAGTTCTCACAGAAACTGCTTGAGTCATTAGTTTTTCAGTCCATCTCTGGTCCTGTGGACAAAAAAAAATTCAGAGTTGTCTTGTCCCAAGAGGAAGGTACACATGGATCCATAAATATTAGTGGTGGAAAAAAGTGCCATTTGCTGTGAGTGGGGGAAGTTTGTGTGTACATGCTGATGGAAGATGTCTTTGTGTTTTTGGCATCATTTATTATACTCCTGAAAGTTCATATGCGGTGAACTCATAAAAATGCATGCAGAGACATTTTGTTCTTGTTCCTGATTTGATTTATCTAACAAGTTTTTTGTATTGTATCACATTACGTATTAGCAGACATCTCCCTACCCTCATGCTTTGTATTTCATTGTGCCCTGTAGACAGATTATATACCCTTAATATTTCACACAGCCTGTCTTTTAAACAGCCTATAGCTGAAAGCTACTAGGTCTTTCCATCATGACCACAAAGCTCAGTTTGTACCCTAACCATAGTACAGAGACAGTGCTGGTAGTCGCATGTGCTCAGCTTAGCAGTAAAAGGGGGTGTTAGACGGCTATTGCGTAGCTGTGCCATGACATAAGTTTGAAACATTGTTGCTGGTCTCGGCTCTCGAACCCTTCTCGCCTGCCACCCACAGCTCGCACGCCACAACAGAGAACTACAGGCCATGCTGAAACCGGGAGCCCCCAGTGGCGATGGCGATGAGGCCCTGCAGTTTTATGCCAAGCATACAGCTCAAATTGAGGTCAGCTGCCCCCTCTGGAGAGCTCTGTCATGGCCCTGCCAGCACAGAATTATAGTGGCCCTGACGTGGGAATTATCTGATTCTCTTGAAAGCCTTATTCAGACTTCCTGTCTGCTTCTCTGGAAACGACGCCGTAAAGCTGCTGGCCATCTTCACCAAGAGAAACACAAGCACGTCTCTGTAATTTAATAGGCAACCTGTTTTTTTTTGTCTCTTTAGGTTTGCCAACGTTTTGACCTAAATCAGCATTTACCTTTCCATTATGTATGGCTGATTATGTTTTATACTCGTGTAACCCGCTTTAGTCAAGGTATACAACAGCAAGACTGTGCTACCCTACGGGTGATTTGTTTGTGTTTGTTTTACTGTACTGTAATGTATTCCTTCTACTAATGTATTTTAACGTTAAACATCGGAAACCACGTCTGTCTTTTCTCAAGTATATCCGGAAGCAGTTTTGGCAGTTCTTTGTCATGATACTCTGTCCTAAGTTTATAATAATTGGTGACATCTCTAAGGCCACTTAAGACTTTCCTGGAGGTGACCATGTCCAAGAAAATGTCGTCTTAAATGCTGGGGTCTGTGTTCAGATTGTGCGGCAGGATCGCACCATGGAGGAGATAGTCTTTCCTGTGCCAAACATCTGTGAGTTCCTGACCAGTGAGTCCAAGCTGCGAGTGTACTACACCACAGAGCGTGACGAACAGGGCAGCAAGATCAATGACTTCTTCCTGCGCGCTGAGGACCTCTTCAATGAGATGAATTGGCAGAAAAAGCTGCGAGGTACTGGCCTTCTGGTAATCTGTATCAATTGTATGTTGGGGAAAGATGGAGAGACCTTCAGAAGAGGTATAGCAGTTCTCAGTCTACTCCCAAATAATACAGTTCCCCACATATTCTTTTGGCGAGACGGAGTGCAGCACTAAGACAGACCCTGTGCTTGAGGGGCTTCCCCCAACCGGTAGAACAAATGTTGGAGCAGCCAAATGAGCCGGAAAGCAAGATGCAGAGAGATACAGGGGATCACGGTGTGTCTCTTACCTCATCATTTGCTCTCTTCAGCAGTGTTTCCTTTTTGCGCATAGTCCTGTTGTGGATAAGCCAGTGTTTCCCAATCCGGTCCTTGGGGACCCATAGACACTCCACCTTTTTGTTCAATTTTATGCTCAATCAGCAAAAACTCTGGACTGTCTGGCAGGGAGCAAAAACATGGACCAACTGTTGGTCCCGAAGGACCAGATTGGGAAACCATTGGTATAAACTGACACGGTATAAATTTGTCTGAAGAATCCCATAAAACATTGGGAGCACCTTCACCATTTCTTATTGGCGCTTGGCTGTTTTGTTTGTCCATTTTATATGGATACTGCAGGTGTTTTCTTTTATATAAAACATTGTCTGGAACAGCCTTTAAAATGCAGAGCATATTTGAAGCCTTCAAGCCATCACTGGCACTTCATGCATCATTAATTCTCCTTTCATAATTGGTAATACCAAGTCTAGAAACCGGGCAAGTGGGGTCTGTTAAGGGAAATTTCAAGAATATCTACAGTGTGTCATGGATGTGTGTGTATACACATGCTCATAAGTCTGAAAATGCAGAAGAACCGTAAGGTAATTTGTCTCTTCCTTCTCTGACATTGAATTCCGATAATCCGATGTCTGTTATATCATAATGCGGTGCATTCTTTGGAGAGGTATCTAAGCTTTACCAGGGAGGCCACGAGATGATACTCGCCTCATCAGAAATTCTTTCGCAGTGCATTTTGTCACTGTAATAATTGCCATGTGCCTGGCGAATGTGACACTAGAGCATTTATGAATTGAGTTATTTATTTGTCTCTGCTGTGTCTGGCTTTTCTAAATCAGGGGCATCGTGCTTTTTTTCCCCCCTCAATGGGAGCTTTTGCCGCTGTCAGTCAGTGGGAGGGAGTTTCCAGAGCTATCTCTGCCTTTTCAGACACATGAAGGCACTGTATGACTCAGAACTGAGAGTCGAGCTTACATCCCTCTCCGTCGTCATCGTAACACGCGAGAACAGTGCCTTCTGTTTTACTTGAGAACCAAAAAAAAAGTCCCCTTTTCTGTTTCCTCTTTTCCAATAAAGCCAAACTGAAAACAGTTTCCAAAATAGCGGCCATTAAATTACGCACAGACCTGGTCTGAGAGCTGCGTGCGGGTGGGTGGGGGGGGGGGGGGTTGAAGGGTGAAAGGTTTGCCAAGCGTTTCCCTGAATGCTAAAGTTGTTAAGGGGCTTTTTTCTGTATCAAATGACCTGTGATGATTATTGCTTTTAGAAAAAGTAAAGATGAAGCTTGGGCAAAGTCTTTGTGTCCTTGCTTCATTGTAGTCATTATTTTTCAATAAAATGATGCCGTGCATTATGCCATTTGAGTGTAGTGACTGCATATTAAGGTGAATTACTGAAAAATGGATACACTCCACAGTATATTTAATCAATATCTTATCTTTAGGTAATATATTTAAGGTTATGCCTCTACACCCAAACTAACATGCAAAGTGTCATATTAGCCACTGGGTATTCTTTACGGGTCATTGATTGTCTCAAGGAATACTTTAGGACAGGGGTGGCCAATTTTATCCGCACAGGGCCGGTGTGTATGCAGGTTAACCTGTAGGTCAGTTGTTCAAACCCAGGTGTGAGGACTCTTCGACCAATCAGTTCCCTAATTAGTAATGTAATTAGGGAGTTGTAGCGAAAACACACACACCCAACGGCCTGTTCTAGATAAGATCGCCCACCCCTGCTTTAGGACGACACAGACAATAGATCAGGGAATATTTTTTTCCCTGGCATTCTACAGGTAAAAGCCAAACCTACTTTCAAAGATGGGGAAGGTTGATTCTGTGGTTTAGTGCAGCCCAGTGCACAAACGAAATGTTTGGTACTGCAATAATAATGGCTGTTGGCTGTATTTATAGCGCTTACTTCACTGTCTTTGTGAGACATTGTTGGGAATCCCCACCACACCAAACTGCTAGTGGTGTACAAAAGAGGAAAGCGATATCCTTGGGAACTTCGCTCTGGCTGGTTTGACAGCCTTGCCTTTAATTGCAACAGTGAATAAATACTTGACACCTGAATAGCAGGCTTTCATAGAAGGTATAAATTAGTTGCCATCGGAAACATGGCATGCCAACAGAATGTAAAGCATGAATGTCAGAGGAAAAATGGACTAATTCGAGTTGTAAATATTGTATGAATATTACCCTTTTTTATTTATCTCTTTGGGGTTTTGTCATGAGGTATACCCACTGGGTAGCTGTTTGAGGATGGAGTAGGCAGGGAATGGCATGACTTCTGTCCTCCTCTCCCTCTATCCAGCCCAGCCATTTCTTTACTGGTGTTCTCGCAACATGTCATTCTGGAGCAACATCTCCTTCAATCTGGCTGTGCTCATGAACCTGCTGGTGGCTTTCTTCTACCCCCTGGAAGGTGTCCATGGAGGTGAGTCCTAGTCAGGCCGCGGTGATCATCTTCAAGGCTTAATCCTCTGAGCCCCTTCAGCACTGCTGTGCTAAAGCTGGCCTGTAGTCTTGAGTCTTTGTCATGTGATGTTTGCACTAATTAGGCCTGTTCAGCACAAATGCCAAGTTTTCATAATTATATATTTAATAGTTACTCCCTTAACTTCTACTTGAATATAAAACTTGCAGAATTGTTTGTATTAGCCTCTCAAGGACATCCAGTTAATTACTGTACATTTGCAGGTTTTTTTTTGCCATTTCATCAGTAACATAAGTAAAGATGCAGTTTTGATTTAAGAGAAGGCCTTCCCTTTTCACCTTATTCCCCCCATGGTTCCAAGGGCCTGTTTACTGGGCACATGAAGTATTTGTAGATTATGATGTTAGGCATCCATTGAAGCATCCACTGAAGTGGAATGCAAGTTTCTGCAATAAGTATTATGTACCAAATCACTTGTGGGTGTTCTCATGGTTTTCTGCATTGTTTTGATGAATAGCATTTAACTGTTCTGTTATGTTCTGTTCTGTTCTAGTTAAACTAACAAACTCAGGGGAGGTTTAGGGACGGTTCCTCTTATCAGTTACAGAACCAAGGGTTTTAAATGCCAGCGAGTGCGTGTGAGTGCTTTTTAAGTCATCCTTTGACCTAAATGGTTCACAAAACAAGCTCCTTTGACTTACATCTATTCCCTGTATGAATCAACAGAAATGGAAAAACAAGATATTTTAATAACAAAAAGACTTGAAAGGGATACTCACCATTATCATTAAAAGTCTATTCATATTACCAGTTATAATAATGCAGAGATAAAGATGGTATCAGTGGTGCAGTCAGTCATTGGCTGCTTGCCTTGTTGCCTATAAGAACATGACTTCTCTCAGAACACAGAGACTTGCGCAGCACCCAGCTGAGACTCCTTGGGTGATTTTAGCCCCTCCTTTCTGGCAGCGTGCTGTCAGTTATTTGGCTACCACTGAGGAACCCCCAGTCACAATAGACCCAGAGGCACAGAATGGGATCCGACAGCACTGTGAGCAGACTGACTCCAACACCCAGTTTAGGGACATTCAAGTTTAAATCAAATTTAAATAGCTTGTGCTTTTTGCATATGCATGGGGAGGCGTGACAAGAAAATGTCATAAAATGTGAAAGGTTATGCAGTGCTGTGTGTGGGGAACAGCAGCAATAAAAATATCAATAAGTGCTTAGCAGAGCGACCCTTCCCACTCACAGGCTCGGTGTCTCGTGACGCCTCGGGTTAGCCGCGGTTCAGCCGGCCTGTTTACGCGCCGAGGGCCCGGCCTTGCCTCCCGTGCACGTTGCAGGAGTGAAGGAGCTGAAATTAGATAAGACTCCCGGAACTAGGTCAGTGTGTTCTGCCTGCTGGTGTGGAAGACTCGGGAGAGCCACACGTTTAACATGGATTACGCGGCAGCCTCCCCCACAGAATGAGAATTCCGTTTGACACCCTCCCCCCCCNGCCCCCCATGTTGCTCCCCTGCTGCTCTTCTCACATGTCAAATGGCTCACCAGCAGTTTGTGAACACACTTTTTTGCTGTCATTTTTAAAATGGAAAAGTTTATACTCGATCTAGATAAGATGACCAGCCAATGGCGATTCAGTACTTGTATCCCATGACCTTCTATAAAATCCAACATGGGGTTGCAAATAGGCTTATTGACACATCGCTTCCTACCCTCACCCCCTCCCACCCCCCACTCAGTCACTCATTATTGGGCAGGGTGGGTGGCGATCCACATTAACGTCAGCACACAGAACCTGGGATCTCTCTCAGCCCGTTTTCTATTAATCTTTCAGGAGCGCGGGTATTTTTAGCCGCTGTTATGTAACTGGCACCTGTCATGTGATCTCCTCACTGAAAGGAAAGCAAGGAGGGCGGGGGGGGTGCGGAATGTCGGGCAGCGAAAGCTAAGATGCCGTCTAGCAGCGGCTCTGTCTGCAGCCGCGGACCCTGCATCCAGCTGTCAGTCCTTATGCTCCTGCCAATGAGCCACCCTGCTTACTTCAGGTTTGCATGCAGAGACAGACAGACACACACAAAGTCTTAAGAAATATGCGCTTGTTATGACATCTTTTGCCCCCTTTTTCATGTTTGTGGTTGAACATGATACGGATGTTTTTTTTTTTTTTCCTTGGCAGTCCATGAAATTTGAACCTGTGACATTAATCAACAAATTATCTGTGGATTTAGGGAACGGCAGGTAGACTCATGCTGAATCCTTACCGAAGTGCAATGTACACACATGTGTCACACTTTTTCTGCGTTATGTAACCATTTAATTTTTTTTCCCCTTTTCAATAAAAGTTCGGTAACGGTGTTTGTTTAGTAGTACGGCGTGTAGCATGATGATTAAGGACTGATTCCAGTTTACGTCTGAGGAGGGGCCTGGCCAGTCTTATAGCACCTTCAAGTACTTAACCTAAATTGCTTCCGTAAAATATCCTCCTGTATGAATGGGTAAAATGAAGTCACTGTGGGTAGAAATTGTGAGCTAAGTGACTAAATGTACCACTGACTGCTTGATTGGCTGCCTCTCCCTTTAGCCCCTAAGATCGGTTGCAAAGATATGGCAGGATCTGGTTTTGCAGGTTCAAACTGCAGGAAGTTGTAATTTTAGCACTCTGGGAAGGTCTGAAAAAATGTATTGGTGAAGTGAATCGCAAGACTTATTTCAGGCTTTTTATTGAGACTTTTGGAAATTTATAGACGTGGTTTTCCTGTCTTTGTGGCATGCTCAGAGCGCAGTGACCTCGTGGATGCCATTTTGGTCACGAGAATAATGCTCTCCCGTTCTGTCCTGTCCTTTAGGTACCCTGGAGCCGCACCTGTCTGCCATGCTGTGGCTAGGCATACTGGTGTCACTAGCGATTGTCATAGCTCTGCCGCAGCCTCATGGTGCCCGAGCTCTCATCGCCTCCACCATCCTACGCCTTATTTTTTCTGCGGGCCTAGAGCCCACACTATTCCTGCTAGGGGCCTTCAATGTAAGTTTTTGTCTACTTGAATCTACCCGTCCTGTACACTAATATGTAAAATAGCTGTAACTCATTTACGGTCTTGTCTGTTCCCCGACCCCACATATATCAGAGCTTTGTACAGACTACAGCTCCTCTCTTCCCTTTCTCACTCTACTCTGTTACACACTGCCTGTGAACACAACACCAAACCCTGTGTCACCCCACCCATCCCTCTGCAACCACTTTTTCGCCTCTGGTGAGGCATGTGTGAGATTCGTCAGCAAAAGCCCTTCTGGCTGATGTCGGGACAACCCAGAAGCCTGAAGCCTCGTATCATTTTTTTTTTTGCATTTTAAGGTTAGGATCCTGTTTTGTATCATATTATTGGGCCTCACCTTTGGTCCATTTGTTACCAGAAGGTGAGGAGCTTAAGTCAAAGCTGCAACATGTTGTATGTTGAAGGCACTTTCCATAGTTGACCTCCTGCTTCCCCTGAATGTGAGGTTGAGGCTGAAGAAGGGTCAGAATCCCTCTCCTGCTGTAAAGAGTTTGAACGGCTGTATATGTCTCATGATACGTTGGACTCTAGAGTGATAAAAGTGGAAAATAGCCTTCATGTTGTCACAAACGGGGTTCATGATGATATGCAGAGCATCATAGCCACTTTAGAGTGGGATGTTTGGCATCTTTAAAGACTTAGTACAGATGTCAAATGGTAAGAGTGTTTGTCCAGATACCATATTCAGAGGAAATGGAGAATATGATAGATGTTTGAGTTCTCCATCAAAGGCATATAACAGTCAATGGATGATTATTTTAAGAGGTAGGAAAAGAGCAGCTGACTAGCTACATGAACCCCTAACTCCTATAGCTAAAGATTCTCAGGTTTATTTTGTCACCATGTTTCACCTGCTGATGACATGGACCAATGTTCTAGTCAGGGACTCAGAGAAGTGGTAATTATCCTATGCACCACTTTAAGCTCCATGTCAATATTAAAATTCTATTTTTTTTATATATAAAACGTTTTCCTTTGTGTCCTTAGGACATGTAGTACCAGCAAGGTGGCATTGAGACTGAATAAAACAAAGTGGATGCTATACTCTTTCATGGTGCCCCAATCATTGAGAGATATACAGAGGTTCCTAGGCATGGTGGGAGGGTATCATCAACACTTCATCACTGGATTTGTTGAATGTTCTGCCCCACTGAATGCCCTGAAGAATGGCACTCCATGAGGTTGGACATTGTAGTTGGACGTTGAGGACCTGATGGACTCACTCTTCAGTGCTTCTATTCCTGTCAGTCCCGATTTCCACTGACCTTTCAAAATTCACACAGATGCTAGGAATGTTGGCCTGGACCCAGGAGATATTGGGTCAGGGATGGGTTATTGCTTATGCCGGTGTTTCCTGACCTTTTCTACCATGACAAACTTTCCATAAGGCGACATTGGCTTATGCCTCAAAAATTACTGTACAAACCAAATAATTATTTGGTTTGTGTGTGAATACTTGGTAGTTGTTTGGGCTGTAGAACACTGGAGGTCATTAATAGATGGGAGTAAATTTAGTCACAGATCATTCTGCTCTTGCTAGGATGTTTAACCAACCCAAACATAATTTAAGACTGGTAAAATGGGCTATTGGGTTACAGGAATTAGACTTGTATGTTTCATACAGGAAGGCTCAATGCAGTGTTGTCCATGATACTATTTCACATTGTCCTGTAGGGATACTGACTCTCAGCATTGTTTGCACTAGTCAAGAGTCTCGCAAGCACAGCACAAGTACTCACTACAAGTTGACTACTAAGACATACAGTGACCAGAAAATTGATGAGGAGGTGCAGACCATAGTGAGAATATACAAGCTGAATGTGTGAGGCAGGGTCACATCTATATGATATTGGGCTCCTGGTGGACAACAAAGGCAGAGGTTCCAGTTGTGTATTCCGAAATCCATATGGGAGCAATTCCTAATGTATTTCTGTGATAGCCCACTAGGTGGCCACCTAGGGAGGCTGAAACCCTTGAAGATCCTGGATTTGGCCTAGTGGGCTCAAATAAGGAAGGGTATCGGAGAGTATGTTGAGACAGATCACCTGCCAAAGGTACAAGTCTCAGCTTATGAAATTGTCTAGCAATCTGCTTCCCATACCAGTACAAGAGTTTGGGTGCCTGTTGGGCATAGAAGTGATAGGCTGTTTTCCAAGAGTCAAAAAACCGAATTAGTACCTTCTGGTGATATTGTGGCCATTATGTTGAAATTTTCCCTGTATGACAAGCTGTAGTACCTAAAATCCACAGAACCTTCACAGAAACAGATTTTCCCAATGGAAAACGTCATCATATAGTGTCTCAGACAGGGGTGCTCAGTTCACATGTTATTTGGCAGCATATCTGTCAACAGCTAGGTGTCATTGATAATCTTAGAACAACATGCCATCCACCAATCCTTAACAATGGGTCTAGAGACAACAATGGTGGCCATCGTGTAGGACAACATGACACTTGGGGCAGGTACCTTCTAGAATTCTGGTTCTGCAAATATTCTGCTGTTCAGGAGTCAGCACAACAGCTTTCACCCCAGCCAAAGTTGCTCTTGGTTGGAAACTCAAAGGCCCTTTGAGGTGCATGCCCCAGAACCCAACCATAGTGTATATGCTGTACTTAGGAGGCACAAGACAGTGATGGAGCAGATCGAACATAATGTTGACAAGTCACAAAATAAACACGACTGCAATTACAACCAATGGAGTCGGCACGATGCGTTTACCTGTGATGATTTGGTATGGAGGAGGGATGTGCTCCATCTATGAGGCAATGCGATACACATCTCGATGCATTGTCAATGATCCGATACATATATTCGAGATACATATGGAGCAGCTACTATTGCTGTACGATTCGCCACTTTTGCAATGCAGTGCAATTCGACAGGATGCAATGTGATGCATTGCCAGACATGACTCCAACTCACACAACATTTGACCAAGAGACTTGCAGAGATTTGGCCACTGAAAGCAGTGGAGAACTGAAGAAGAGAGAGTGCGCTTGAGAAGCAGTATAGAGAGGGGGAATCAGTCTAAATATAACATTATTGGTTACATTTCTAAATAATAAAGGCATAGTGCCTTTACTAATAATTAAATATTTATGTAACCTTTTTCGTGTGCTGCTTCCTGCTCAATAACTCCAGTGGATAGGGCAGGCCAGGCCCCGGACCCTCCCGTCCTGAATTCTGCATTGTTTCGGTTTGTTGGTGATGTGACATGGCATGGTGAGAGAGGTGCAGGCCCAGGTGCAGTTAGTCTGATTTCAGGTGCTCTGACCCAGCAGGGAGTGCAGTATGATGGGAGAAGTTGGTGATGATGGATACAGTCTTGAGGTGAATATGACTTAAGCAACAAAATAAAAGTAAAGACTTGCTTGCAGGCCTAAATCTTTAAAAAAAAAAAATACTAAAATAAATAAAGTGGGGAAAAAAAGCAAAGCAAAAAGCAGCGACTGTTTTAAGCAGTCTTCCTCACTTTCCTATAAACATAGAGCTGGCAGTTCTTCTCCCTTCACAAACACAATATAGAGCTTGCTTTTGCGCACAACAATATATAATAGTCACAAATTAAACTTTTCAGTGTTGGCTCCATTAACTATAGGCAAATACAACAAAATTATAACAAGTAATATTTAACCAGTTACTGGCTTAGTTCTACTTATTTGGCCCAAAAGAACTCGCTGCTAATTAACTTTATCATAGCGGGCACCGCAACTTGTTGAAATATATAAGACTATATAATTTTGAAACGCAATAAACATGCTGGATTTAATCAAAATCTTTTAAATGAACCAAATAAACATCCACCATTCATTACCAAACATGCTTCAACATATAAATATATGGATAACTCATTTTTATTCCCCTAAAAGTTAGACGAGCCAGGAGCCATATTTTAGCTTTCCAAACAAGGAGAAAAGAAAGCTTGCTTTAGTGTAGAACAGCTTACAAACACAAATAAGTTCACGATAAAAGACAGTGCCTGCTGTGGTCTGGAAAGACCCCAGAAAACATTAATAATACCAGTGGTGAGTTAAATAAATGATATAAAATTAATAACATTATATAATTCACCGTTCTACATGAATAAATTGGTTTTTACTGATATTTATCAGATATTTAATAAGGCACTCACGTCGTGAAATTTCATGCCAGTGCCCCAATATGAATTGGTGGATATTTCCATCCCTAGTATAGAGTGGTGACTGTCTTCTATCTAAAGCTGGAATATGGCCAGATTGACTTAAAAATGGAAAGAACCTGGTAACATTATGGGGAGGGGTTTTGTAGCGAAAACAAAGGCTGGGGGAAAGGCTACAGCAAACCGGGGGGGGGGGGGGGTCCTGGTTTGTTAGGTCCAAGTCAAGGCAGCAGCAATAATGACAGAGAATTGGCCTTCAGTTTTTGGCTTTGCTGCAGACAGTGTTTCACATCGATCCCCCCAATCCGAGGACCTCAGTGAGACCAGCCTTGCTTGCTTTCACTCATTGTGCCAGATGTCATCACTTAGAATACAACCTAGTACCTAAAGTGACTAAATTATACAACGTAGGTTCCTGCCATTCCTTTTTGCCTGTTTTGGTGGGCTTTGCTTTGTGGATATTTGGTGCATTAAGCAGATTGATGTATGGGGTACGTGCCTCTTTGATCTTGTGTTTTGTGTTTTTCTACTAATTGTGCGTGGCAGTGGGTCTAAAGGGAAACACCTTTTTGGTCCTCATTGTCTCTCTTAATAACTGTGGCATAGGGAAATAAACATTTAAAATGGGCACCCAAACAGGGACTTGACTCACAGTGCTTTGGGTTTTCTTGTGGTTTCTCATTCACTGTGGGCTCAGTTGTACCTGTAACATGGAGGTGAGAGGTGGAATTGGAGGCTTTATTGTGCTGTACTTGGCAGACACTATCGATAAATGGCTAGCAGAGTTAGAGCAAAGCTGGGCATTCAGATGGGAGCAAGTACAGGCAAAACATCATCCTTTGTTCTAACGTTGTGTGTTTTTGCCATACAAATATGAAAACTGCCTCCAGCAATCTGCCTTGAGAATAGATCCAGTTTCTGTGGTGAGCTGAGCTGTCTTGTTTGTAGCGCTCGTGAATTACCACACCCTGCGTACTTAATTATAAATAGGTCAATAAACTGGTGCACAGTGAAAGGTGATAAGTGCAGAAATTAATACTGGCATTAAAGAAATGGAATTAACAACTTTGCTCTCTTATTTTAATAGTTAAAGCAGCATGAGGCACCCATAATAAGAATTGTTTCATACTCAAAGAACACTTTGAGTAAAGTCTGTGTTCGTCTTAAATGTTGTGTAGCATTCGTGCATACAAGTCATTGTTCAGGCAAAGTGGCAGGTGGCTGCTGACAGCGGAGGCTTCAGGCAGCTTCTAACCCAGCTCCCAGGCAGATGGTGGCTGCGTCCCGTTAAAAGCATTGCAGGTCCAGATGGAACCAAGTTGGGGGTGTGGCTGACCTGCCATGCATGTATCTCCTCATTAAATAAGTAGTATAGAAACAGCAACTGTATGTCGATAGCAAATTTATCACCGTTTTGATATTGTCTCGATCCTGACATCCAGTGTAAGTAAGTGAATAAAAAAAATGCTACTGGTTCTTAAAGGGGGTTAAGGACCTTGCTCAAGGGCCCAAAATGGCATTTGAGTGTCCAACCTTCTGGTCACAGACGCTGTTCTACCCTGCAGGGCTACAAACCATCGCTGATAAGCCCCTCAGTATATTGTTATGGACTGACTGCATCCATTATGGCAAGATGGTATTTTGTGTTCCCCATGTAGGTTTGCAATAAAATAATCTTCCTGATGAGCTTTGTGGGAAACAGAGGTACCTTCACCAGGGGTTACAAGGCCATGGTCCTTGACATGGAGTTCCTCTACCACCTGCTGTACCTGATCATCTGCAGCCTGGGAGTGTTTGTGCATGTATTCTTCTACAGTTTGCTGGTGAGTCTTCATGGATGTTCATGTTTCTCATGAGACACGCAGATAGGGACAATCCAAACTGGGATTTTAACCCCAGACCCTTCCTATGAAATGCCTGATACCCTACCATCTGAGCTATCTGGGCTTTGGTGATGATATGGCACTTAGGGTCTGTTGTTTTGAATGGTTTGTGTGTCTGTGTGTCTGTCTGTCTGTCTGTCTGTCTGTCTGTCTGTGTCTCTCTCTCTCTCTCTCTCTCTCTCTCTCTCTCTCTCTCTCTCTCTCTCTC